AGAAGAAGAAGAAGAAGAAGAAGAAGAAGAAGAAGAAGAAGAAGAAGAAGAAGAAGAAGAAGAAGAAGAAGAAGAAGAAAATCAACTAACTATAAAGAAATCGGTTTGGAGGGAGGGAACGGGCGTCGTTGCCCTGGGCACATAGTAATTATATTCAAGCGGGGCACTTCTCTTTGCGAAGTGAAGACGCTTCTCAGCTACAGAATTTAAGCTTATACAGGGAGCCCACTGAACTGATCCCAGAAAACGGTTCCTTCCTTTTCGTAATCCCTCCCTGCTTATTTTAGCCACTTCTCCACCCCGCCGGGAATACCATCCAGATCTTAGAACCAGGTAGATCTGACGTCAAGCGATGGCTTTCGTCGATTTGACGTGTAAACACTCATTTCCATTCCGGCTGGCAAGGGCTGGGGCTCCACTCCGCTTGGAGACTGGAGCACAGAACTGAGCCCTGGCCGCCGCCCGCTCGCTCTCCTCTCGCGCCTCCTAGCTCCGAGCCCAGCGAGCGTCCGGAGCCCCGGGGTGCGAAGGACGAGCCTCTGGCTTCTGTGGCCTCTGAGCGGTCTTTCCTTCCCACTTGGTGAGCCAGCCAGCGGGGGAGCCATGGACCCGAGAGCTTGGCCTCTGCACCGAGCGGCTTTCGCCCTCCTTTGCACTTGGTGTGCACTGACCGGCGTGGGAGCCAAGAGGCAATTTGTCAATGAATGGGCAGCCGAGATCTCCGGGGGACCCGAGGCAGCCTCGGCCATCGCGGAGGAACTGGGCTATGACCTTCTGGGCCAGGTAAGAGTTTGCACTTTCCGAAACTTTCTGGGGCACCAGGGCCTGGTGGGGCTGGGGCGCGGTCCCCCAGGTGGCATTCCAGGTGGCCCTCCCCAGCGGGCGCCGTGTGTGGCAAAGGGCAGCGGCTGGTCCCACTCGGGCCCCCGGAGGGGAGCCGGGAGCGCGAGCTGGCATTATTCACACTTAGGGGAGGAGCACTCGGCAAAAGGCAGCCGCTGCAGCTCGGTCTGGCTAATTCTTCCTGCTGTCCGCTCGGGAATTTAAATTTGTTCCCGCGCGATACAGGGCAGGGAGTACAAGAGAAAGCGAGGGATTCCGCCACGCTCGCGGGTTCGGGGAACTTGCGGTGCACCCAGCCGTCAGCATCCCAGCGCCCCGGGAGTGACGGCGCGCTCCCAGCCCGGCACTCGCGGGTCTGCGTCAGGAGCCCGCAGCTCCCTTCTTTTCAATATGGCAGCAGCAACAGCAGCAGCAGCAGCTCCGAGTCCCCAGGCCGGGGAGGAGGCAGCCTTCGGCGTGTCGGTGGGCAGCCCCCGGGGCAAGCTCAAGGCGGTCAGAGGTCGCCAGCCGCAGGGGCCCGAGGCTGTGGGCGGCCAGGGTGGGCTGCGGAGCCAGCCGAAGGGGTGGGAAGGGGTGGGGGGAGACGAACTCACCACACCGGTCCTCAGGGCTCCGGGATTTCCCAGGGAACTTGCCAAGTTCCCAGCGGCCCAACTTTGTTGGACCAATATCTTTCCCGGGGTCAAGCGCCAACAAAGACAGAGGGGGAAGGGTCTATTTCTTGTTTCTTGCTACCGTGATCGTTTCCCCCGGGGTTTTCAAGCTTGTGTTGGAAACTGTTGTCTGTCCAAGTACGGGCTGGGTTAATAAGAAGTGTGCGTGCGTGTGTGTTTAGAGTGGTGGTTATGAAGGCATTAGACAAGGCTGTTTGGGGCAACACCGGGGCACCCCAGAGGGTGGAAGAGCTAAGGTAGAGCTTTTCTCTTCCTTAGCTACAAAGCAAATCCCCTACCCCTTGCCTTCAAAGACGCTGTGCATCCAAGCGGGGGAGTATGGAGTTGTAAAACATTTTGGCGCGTTTTGGGGTTTTTTCCCCCCCCCCTTTTCCTGGAGGTGGTGACAGAGATATTGCTGAAGTATGAGTAATCCGCGTGGGCGTGGGCGACTCCATAGATGGAATCCACTAGGGAATCCGCCTGCACTTGCCAGAGGCTTCTTTCTCCAACTTTCTGAGCCAAGCTGTCTTTGAAATGCCCAGCAGCAAAGCCAGTGCAGACTGACTTTCCAGGTCCCAGGCGGCAGACCCAGCTGGTTGCCTTGCGCGGTCTGTGAAGGGCTTACTGTTAGGGGCTAAGGAACACCGGGAAAGGAAAAGAAACACCATTGAGGAAGTAGGTTTCTGGAGGACAGCGCTGTCTTAGAAGCACAGGATGCAATTCAGGCAGTAATAGAAGGAGTACCTCAGGATTTGTTGATTGGAGGAATGAAGATAAAGGGGGGTTGGAGAGAAATGTAAGCAAGATAGCTTAAAGAAGGGAATATTTACATGGTTTTAGGTAAAAGGGCTACAAAGGTGGCCAGGGAACCATACTGAGGCCATGCCAAGCACAAGGACCAGCGTGTGGGAAAGGCAGGAGTGCCACAGTAAGGCTGCTAGGACGATTGGGAATTGTTGGTGTCAAAGGGAGAGTGAGCAGGTGGAGCTCTATCAGTGGGGAGAGTGGGCATTATGGAAACCTCCTGTGTCCTAGTGTGAAAAAAAGACGTGGAAATGTAATCCTTTATTCCTACGGAAAGGCTCGATGGCACTAGAAACTGTGTGGAAGAAGATTGGGGGAGAAAGAAAAATAAAGCAATCCTTCGTCCTTTTCTCATCTATTAGCCACGATCCACAGCCCCAGCGAGGCCCCCTCCATATGAGAACTGCTTTTCAAAATAAACCCACACTCTAAAACTAAAAAGCAAACCAGCAAAAAGCCACACATCCATATCTCTGGTAGGATTTTCAGAAAAAAGATTATGTGGCCAAAAAAACTTTGAAAACTGTGTCCTGGGATCTCTATTTTCACATGACCTGTGTACTCTATATCTTCTCTAGTCATTTCAAGACTAGAGGTTTTAAAAATATATTTAAAAATATTTTTCTTTTCTTGGAAAGACTAACCGCTTGCTTTCCTGGTGCAGTTTATTGCCTCCCCTGTTCACACTAACTGAGCCTCAGTATTCCAGAATCTCTTCTGGTTTATGGACAAACAAGGTTAATTAAAGGACCAGACGCAAAACCAGGTGAGAACAGAGAGCTATACATTGGTGATTGTTTCCTATGGCTGTTGATCCCTCTCACTAGCTTTATCAAGAACTTATAGCAGATTCACTCCATAAAATTCAGTCGGTTTAGGGTAGAGCCTACGCATCCCTACTAAAAATTTCTCTATAGGATGAGAACCACCCATTTTAAGAATGCACTTCTTAAACCTACTCTCAGTTGTTAGTTTCTTTATTAGAGACATACAAGGCATTTAAAGGAAGTGGTAGACTCCAGTTAAATACTCTTTTCAGTAAAGAGACAGTAGCTTAAAAAAAGAATGAAAATGGTTTAAAATGAGTCAAAGGTATGGGTAGTCTCCCAGACAGGTATGGACACCTCTCCTAGAAGTGTCACACCTCCCCCCCAAATCCTTGAACAAGAGCAAATTCAAGTGGTCAGTATTCATAGCTGATAATAGTCATCCTTATGGATTCAATAATTCCATTTTATAGCAACAATGAATGGTTTTAGCTGAATGTGATCTGGTGGTACAGATCACATATAATATTTTAAAAGTTTCATTGGTTTCCCCAAGTTATTGTTCTTGGAGAGGATGCATTTCATTAAATCAGTGTGTTTTTCTTGTTTGTTTGTTTGTTTGTTTTGAGAAGTTCCTATGTACTGAACATTGTTAGGTTAAAAAAATCCAATATAATTCCTCTAAAATTGTCAAACAGAAGACCCACCTGCTACTCAACCATACTGTGAGCCCAAGTGATTATATACTGCATTCAACACCGGCAGAATAGGGTTGGCATCTTTCTCTATCTTTCTCAGGAAGAAAAATGGTAACTTCAGGTTCAGGAATGAGTAAATAGAAGTGACACTTCTTTTGGAAAGTGGATGTTTATTTTATAACTTTCTCTTATAGATCGGATCTCTTGAAAATCACTACTTATTCAAACATAAAAACCATCCCCGAAGGTCTCGAAGGAGTGCCCTGCATCTCACTAAGAGGTTATCTGACGATGATCGAGTAAGTGCGGGGCCCTGTCTTCGAATCAGTACCCGGATTGCCTGCTTTCTTTAGGATTTCCAACAAGAGCAAAAGCAGTTTGTAAATATGTTTTTTTATTATATAATGACTATTGAGTCACAGTGCTCCTCGTCATAGGATCACTTTCACAGGTAATGATTACAATGTTGGGCTACATTTGTTGAACGAACTAAACGTGTTTGTGTGTGTGTGCACGCGCAAATTTTTGGAAAATTTGCATGGTCTTTTAATTCCGTGTTTCCACACACCTTTATAAGTCCTTTATATTTTAAGTCCCCTTATATTATCATAGGTCTCCTCTATGAAGTCCCCAATTTATGACATAATCAAGTTACAAGGAACTGCATTTACAGCCATCTGGTTCCATATGTTGGCTTGTTTTTGCACATCTTATTATCAGGATTGTGTGCTACACACAGTGTCGAAGTGCAAAACTCACTGATGTTGTATTCTCAGATGTTCACTTGCACATATTTCTATGTAATTTTTTCAAACCCCACTGGATTTATAAAAATACCCATTACTAAATGCAATAATAATCAAAATAAATATTCAAATTATGTTAGAACTGACTTACACTGAGTTGTCAAAGCAAAGCCTTACTATAAGTCAGGACTACCTGTGTATGTGTGTGTGCATCCATAAATATATATGCAGAAACCAAGCCCACTGCTGTTCAGTTGATATAGACTCATAAAGACCTCATAGGTCAGATTATAACTACCGATAACTTTTCCAAGACTGTGAATCTTTACAGAAGCAGCTGGTGGGTTTGAACTGCTGACCTTCAGGTTTTCAGTCAAGTGCTTTAACCACCGTGCCAGCTGGGTTTCTGGCATACAAATTCAGTGTAAGAGGATGAAAGTGAATTTTGAAAGTCAGGTTCACCAATAACATAAATGTTGAGAATACCGTCAAAGGTTCTAAGTGGTAAAGGAGTTCTGGGAGTGGTGAGAGTTAAGCTTTAGACTACTCTTCACAAGACGAGTAGCTCAAACTCCCCAGATATTTTGAAGGAGAAAGATGAGACTCTCTTCTCTTATAAAGGCTTACAGTCTTGAGAAACAGATGAAACAATTCTTCTCTGTCCTATAGGGTCATTGAGTTGGAATCAACTCAATAAGAGCAGATTTTGTTTGGGCTTTATAGTATACCACAATAGCCAATGGGGGGATGTCACAGACATTTATTAATTTTGCTTTCAATGCCATTTCTGTAGAATGGAAAAAAAATTCTGCTATTTTTGTTCTAGTTGGCTACAGAAGAAATTAATGTTCTAAGCCTATGCCTACAATATGCAACTGTCTTTGTAATAATCATTATATTGTTTGACTCAAAGCATTTGATCCTTTTTTATCTTAGTTTGCATGCAGAATCCGTGATTAGGCAAAACCAGGAAATGCCTAGAATGAATAGGGTGGGACCATTTGAATACATTCTTAGTTCACCTATTGATATTTTGAGATCTATGTTCCAAACCAGCTTACATATCAATAGAAAATTTTGATTCTGCTGAGAATATGTTATTTGCATACACAATGCGACTTTTTCTCAAGAATTCAGCAGATATCATTCTAATGAAAATCTCTGCCTGAACTCTCTATATAAATGTCGCCGAGAGCTAGGGAATTGTGGAATGATCAGAGAAAGAACACATTCTCTCAATTTTCCAGGGAGGAAAAAAGTAAATTACAGTAAAGTGATAGAAATGTTACCATTACATGAAATTTATGAGTTCTGCAAAACAATATCTAGGAGAGGTGGAGGTTTTTTTCTGTTATTGTTCATAACTTAAATTTATTTTTTAAAGTTAAATTATGAGGGAAATATTGGGCCTGAATAACCAGTGTCCAAAGATAAAAAGAAACAACCACATCTGGAAGAAGAACGCCTCATAAGACCATGGACAGCGACAAGCAGCGCTTATACATTAGTTGCTAGGTCCTAGTCAATTGGATATGCGAACTCTGATAGTGGTTAAGCATTGGGCTGTTAACCTCAAGGCCAGTGGTTTGAAACAATCAGCTGCTCCTTGGGAGAAAGATGAGACTCTATTCCTATAAAGAACTACAGTCTTTGGGGCCCACAGAGTTCTACTCGGCCCTGTAGGGTGTGTGGGTTGGAATCAAGTCTATGACTGTGGTCAGAGACCAAAGCAGAAGCCCTGAAAATTATGTTAAATGTTTTTTGTCCAAATGAGGTCCTTTCTGCCCTTGTCAAGATAGATGATTTTTGGACATGAGATCTAAAAAGCCGAGCAACTTTCAACATTGAACGTAGGCTTAATCCTTGAAAAAAGGCAGGAGAAAGATTTTCTTCTCTGTCTCAATGCACGGCAGACATTGCTAAACCAAGAAATCAGAGGGGCCTCCCTTCTCCTCTCTAAAAGAGAACATTGGATAAATTGGAGCATGCCTGTTGTGATTATTCAAAATATCTTCCTAGGATGAACAAAGGCCCCAGCTCTATTCTCTATAGGTCTCCTTGATAATTAATTGATTTTGAAGGAAATTACAAGGAAGAGCAGTTAATAATTTACTGTCTAACATAGCCTGCTACCAAATCAATCTATTATAATCCTAAGAGAAAATTTTATTTTATGGGGAAAAAAAATCCTGGAATCCATAGAAACTTTCAGTGTAAGGCTGTACAGGATAAACTTTAATGTTCTTTTCTGATCAAAAAGATCATTTCCAATTAAACACATAATGCTTATTACATACATAATAGAAAAGTACCACCAATTTTTCTGTTCCATTAGGTCTTCTTGCCTAGCGATTAATACAGGCTTCTGAGTTAATGACATCAATCATAACACTGTTTCATACAATTGGTTGTTTATCTGATCTGTGGCAGAGTGCCTCTTCTAATATTCAATTTTTAAAAACATTGCCCTTGGTTTTAATTTTATTGCTCTCCTTTTTGGTTAGTCATAATAATCAGTTAAATTAGCCCCCTGAAATGCTGTGATAGGCTATCTTCATTAATCTGTTAATGAAGTCTCCAATGTAAGTGACCTTCTCCCCCAAAGGTTGGTACTTGTTCCCATACAGCAGTTTCCCCAATATCAACCCATCCTAAAGGCAGTGTATTCTAAGCACTGAAGTATTTAAAGCCAAAAATAATTAAGCTTGAAAATGTAGGCACTTTAAAATTAAATGATAGTGACTAATGTCTAGGGCACAAGTCCATCCCAATGTTTACGATAGGTTTTCAGCAGATTTTTTAATTGAAAATTCAGGGCAGTCTTACTGGATGGTTTTATGATTTCATTAGAAGTTATATTTCAGGGTTTTTTATTTGTTTGTTTCTTTTGGATGTGACTCACAAAAGCTCTCTCACAAATAATACAGCAGAGAGGATGTGTTTGGGGTAGGAAATGGCCATGGAGCCCCACAAAATCAGACTATGTGACTGTACCTCATAGTGATTATACCCACAAGGCAGCCCTTCACCCTCTCAGGGCCTCAAGTATAATAGCACTATGCCATAAATATAAGGCAGGTAATACTTGTATTGTCAGATTGCCTTGCATAATACATGAGGCTGAATTAATGGTAAGTGCTCGTGGTCAGTAGTGCTCATTCATCACCCCAGAACTGTTTCTCATATTAAATA